AGTCTGAGGGTATTTCGTTATATTCAACACCGAATCCATCTGCTGGATGATAAGGAGACAAGTTACCCCAATAACGGCTCTTATCAAATCCATCTGCGTACGATAACCTAGTTTGTTGAGCTGAAGAGAAAGAACGGGTTTTTCAACTGAGACGATGACATTAGTTTTCACTTACTTTCGAACATACCTGAACTAGCGGTACGTAAAGAAGACTCATTGGTGCTAGAGAAAGTAAGAATGCATTTAATTAGCTCGATATGAGGATCAAAACTGTAGAAGAGCCGGCAGACTTACAAGTGAATGAGATTGAAACCAATGGCCAGAATTATCCAAACCATTTCGTTGCTGAGTCGGTTCATCTCTTTTTTGTAAAAATGTCGGCTGAGATCTCTTACTGTTCTACAAACCATACATAGGCAAGACAGTCACATAGAGACAGGTGTGATTATAATGTTGAAAGCCGTCTTCGCAAACACTGGTAGCGTTGAAAAAAGACAGACGATTCAACCTTATGAATAATAACAACAATGAATTTGAACAAAACTGAATAAAACGAATGAAAACCTCTTGAAGTGAAGGAACATGTTGGTAGGACTCTACACCGATATGGGTCATGCAATATTAAATTCAAGTTCACAATACACAGTGTGCATCCAGGTCGGCTTTCGGTGAAAAAATGAAAGTTGATTTTTCAGTAATTTTAAGGTTACTTAAGATTTAAAATGTAGAGTAGGAAAATAGTATCAATAAGTACGTTTTGGTTCTATGTATTGTGAGAAAGAGAGAAAGTTAATAGATCTTGTAAAGGAAGACAAAACGAAAACGAAAAAGAAACTATAAATAGGCGTTTAACAAGAATAAGTCCAAGCAGTCAGTCTACATTTTAAATGTGCACACGTCATATGTAATAGAATTTTAACTATATTTTTATATTTTTTATATATTTTATTATGTTCACTGAATAAGACCTCAATTATAAGAAGTCGAAACGTTTGTTTTGTTAAATTTTAATAAGTTTTAAATTGTTTAAAATTAAAATACGGAACCAAAGTATCTTAGTTTAACGCAAATGTATATCTAATCCGTATCGTCGGCCAATTGTTACTCAAAATATCTATTGCACAGTGTGCATTTTTTGCATAGCAGGCGGTCATGTAACTTTCGTGCTCAAAAACGGGTTTGTTTTGCTCAAAAGTGGCTGTATATCACTTCAAAAACCACCTTTAAGGAAGAAAGCAATTTTTTCGATGAGAACCACCTGAGGACACCTGAGAAAAACACCTCACCTATATTTTTTCGAGAAAGTGTTTTTGTTAGAAAATATATTGTGTCATACATCATCCGATACAGTTTCACACGCTGATTCCGAATATGCCATTAGTTTTCGATGAAAATGCTTTGGTGTCTGAAAAAGAGGAATCGAGCGTGAAAATCAAGGCTTTTATGACGTTTTTGGAAAACCTACCATTCGTTCCAGAAGCGTCGGCGCTAATTGGCGCTAACTGAAAAATGTTTTATTTTTTTTCTCCAACTTAGAATGCCCAAAAATAGAAAAGGTTTTTACCAATCGATAGCGCACTTGATGCTTGATGGAGAAAAAAAATAAAACATTTTTCTAACGCATTTTCCCAGGTGGTGTGTTTGATGCAATGCGTGCGCCAACTTCAGTGAAGCTCCAATTTTGATGAAATTTTCAGCGAATGCTGTCTTATATATGACATGTCAACACAGTTAGCGCCAATTAGCGCCGACGCTTCTGGAATGAATGTAGAGATAATGATATCATCATGACTCATGTCTAAGTAGAACGGTTGTTCCAATGGGAAAGTGGTAGGATTATTATCAAGGGTCGAGTTAACACTTGTGTTGCTGATGTAGAGATACTGGTTTT